TTCGAACGGCTAGTTTCATAAAATGAGCAAAACACCTACAACCAATCTCTAGAATGTTTTCCTATCTAGTATTTATAATCCTTATTAAGGGAAACATTTCTAAACTGTACAGTGGTTTTCCAAAAACGATGTTTTTCAGTTTTCTAGCTTTGAAACAATATTTAATCGACAAAGATAATATGTTCGAAATCAATGGATTCAATTCAGATATATTGAATGACTTCTGAGTGAAAAAAATCCGTTTCCAAGCGAGAAAGTCACATCTTCGTCTGCCATAATGACAAAAAGAGAGATCTGCTTAAGGCTCATTTATATACAAAGTTCAGAAAAATAAATTTCTCTAAGAGAGACGATGACAGCAAATTAAAAAAAAATATTATGTTGCTGTAACATGCTCGCAGCAATAAGCAAATGGTTTGAACTATTTTCAGAGTATCCGTAGTTCATTAAGCTCTACATGATCCATACTCTCCCTAATAGAACATAATTAATAAGTTATAGAACTTCCTTCGTTAGCTGTTTCAGACAGATTCAATATTCTGTTGCTAGAGAATAGGTTTTTAATATTAATACGATGTTTTCTATATGATTATTTTTTGAAAATTTTATTCCGACAAATTTAGATTACAAGTCATTCTTAAGTAAGAAAAAACTCCAAGGAAACAAATGAAATTTAGTTTTCTATATGATACTTGCAGTTAAGTTTGCTAATTATATCCGGTGTTGGTTATACAACATATTAGAATTATTTTCATCTATTGTTCTATCGAACGTAAACAAAGTTCCATATTCTCTTATTGTAATCAATTAGCCTACATATGTCAAATTATGTTTTGTATTTTTATAAATTCTCATGCATTCGTAGTAGATATATAAATAAAGTTAAAAATAATCTAAAAAACATAAAGCAGGTATAATAGATGTCTACTGATTATGTGTTCTACATTTACTATGATTTTCAAGTTGAATTGATCTTTTATGTACGTCAAGTTCAGTATTCCTGAAAACGTTTTTTTGCCCTTTCCATCACAATGTATAATTTCATATCGGATTCTCAATAGTAATTCTAGTTTATCAATAATGTAACGAAGAGAAAACATTCATTTTGTTTTTTTTTATCATTAATTGTATATATATGTGATTATAGTATAAGGTATATAATAGATAGTTAGATTGAAATAGACTTTTTTTCTATCGTATACAATATGACGACATTTTTTTACTCAAAAAATCTTTAATGAGCAGTATGATGAAAAGAAAAAGAATAATTATTTTTCTTTTGTACAAAGAAAATTCATTAATATAAATATTGTTCAAGAACGTTACTTAAAATAAATTCAATTTAGTTAAGTAGATTTAATAAAAATTAGTCTATAATAAAAAAAACGTCCTTTTCTTACGAGATACGAGTGGTAAAAAATTTTTACATATAAAGATTTATTAAAGAATAAATCGTTGAAGAAATGATGCTGCTCATGTATTTAAAATATCAAACCATATTCAAGAAAGTCAATCAGTCTTCATTAATAGATTTTGTTCTTTTATTTTTTTCTCTAAAACTCAAATAGTGATTCATTAGTTAAGTAAAATTCATACTCAGACTAAATATATTAGCACACACTATATTGAACTTGTATGAGTTCTATTCTACATCTTTTTCGTACGACGAGCCTACACGAACTGATATCCACCATTTCAACTCATATTGGGTTCACAAGGAGATCTTCGGAAGAGTAGGAAAACTCTTAAAGGATTCGTGCCTATATGTCTCTAAAGCCGTAGTATGGTCGTTTTATTACATTTTCTATTTGAAATTTCGCACATAAACACGTCAAATAACTAATCAAAAATTCCTTTATTAAGATAATTGAGTTTTCAAGTAAACTCTTTCTTTTTTTTAGCAAGCGATCGTTTTTTGGATATTCAATATATTCATAAAGTAATATTCTACTAGCCATTCGAAGTGTCTTATATGTGAAATTTCAGACCCAAATATCTGAAGTTAAATTAAAAATTCAGTAGAACAATCATAATTCGACTCAAGAGACCCATGAGCATGAACTATTTTTAGGATTTCTTTAATCTTACTGAGACTTCCTGGTGAACTCGTTATGATCTCAAAAAATGGATACCGGTTTGAGTAGTTCCTTCATTAGTGACATAATCATTCATGTTACTTACACACAACAATTTTTCAAGCACTATGAATCTCGAATAAACACTTGGTAAATGTATATTCTTATGAATGAATATGTATTTGTCTTAAACCTTGCTGTAAGATTGTGCTTTATTATATAGTACATCATTGAGTCTAGTAATCTCGAATTTGTTTATTCTTAAATCATTGAATAAATACTAATGTCTAAGTATAGATGAATAATGAATTTTTGACTTATTCACTATTGCAATGAATACAAAAAAAAAGAAACTAAGGTTTCTTTTATTTTGACTTAGAATAAAAGAAAATCGATGAAAGATTTATATAATATTCTTTTTGTTTTATTTCTAGCCTTTGATCATATATCCTATGCAATTCGTCAATTAAGTAATATGACTCAACAAGCTCGTGCTGCTTTTCAATATGCTACATTAAATGTCTTTCAAATGTCTTCAAGACAGCAACAACAACAAAGTCAAGGATTATCTAACACTTCCTTGTCATCAAATGTAATTGCTTTTGCTCAATTACAAGCGATGCAACAACAAAAATCATCATCAATTCATCGTACTAGTGGTTCTTTACGTACAACACCTTAATTTAGAAGAATTATATAAGAAAAATAAGAACCGGTGATGAATTGAGAGAAGAAAATCACTTAAAGCAACAAAAAAAAAGAAAAGTTTTCTATTCTCAATATAACATCTTGTTTTTTTTATATACACGCATCATTTCTTTCATTTATTTCCCGACTTAATGACAAAAAATGCACAAAAAATAAAAGTATTTTTTGGCTTATTGTCTCTTTACCATAGTGAAATTATTTTTTATGTTTTGTTTTGTCAATTGTGTATGTATGAAGTCGAGATGTGCATATTCTCTCTGAATTGTCCTTTTGTCGTCTATGTGTATTAAACGAAAGTAAATGGGTTTTCTTTTTGTCTTTTGCTCTAAATTTACATCATCTTTCTTGCTCTATGTTTGTCGTTTATTATCATCTTTAATCTTCTCGACAGTCATACCGCGTCTCTTCTTCTTCTCTCTTTCTTTTTTGTAATAAAAACATAAGAAAATAGTAGATCTTTTCATGAAGCGATATATATGAAAAACTTTTGTTTTTTTTTTCATTTAAGATATTGAAAAATACATTGTTCATCACGAACATTTATTTCAATTCCTATGATAATATTAATTATGATAACATTAACATGTGCATTAATTAAATGTCATCAACATTTTCCTTGATTCAATCTTTTGCGTGATTCTACTACAAAACTGCGATATTAATAACTTCATATAAGTAATGAGCTTCTTTCCCATGCACTTAAGAACTCATTTGTTTGTTTTATCCTTTTTTAAAAAGGTATTATAAATACGTCATAATGATGATATAACAATTACGCTTATTTTTTTTTTTGGATCCAAAGTTGCTGTGCCCTAATAGATACATTACATATTTAATTTATATATATATATATAAGGAAATTTATTTCTTTAGTTATTTTATTAAATAATTTAAAACAAAAAAAGAAAATTCATTACTTTTCCTAAGCATTTTTGAATTAAAACAAAAGACATAAATGGTCTAGTAACAAAATGACTAGTTTTCTGCGAGCAAGTTCCCTATAGTATAGACTTTTTGAATTACAAATATACATCATTATTATCAAATATACAAAAAGATATTTCCATTTAGTATGTATCTCATGGGATATAGTTTATTTGTTTCAAATACTCTAGACAAGAATATAGAGTTATTACTATATTAATGAAAAAACAATCCTATTAAAGACCTATTATCGATTTTCTATAGGATCTGTTTCATCGTTGTTTTGTCTTTATAAACACTCGAACAGGTGACTAAATCGATTGTGTTTTACTGTTAAGATCTATTAAAGGCTTAGGTACAAATCTTTATAATAAGCTCAATACATAAATATTGAGCTCATAAATAGATAACATTTATTGTCTAAAAAGCAACACCATGATGAATTTTCTTCTTTTTTTTTATAAAAAAAGTCTTTTATTTTAACTGAGTTTAAGAACATATTTTGTTCTGTACTTCTTTTTATATAATTCTGACATAGATCTTTACACTTTTTTTCCTCTTGTTGTAAAATATTCCTTCATTCTTCTTGAGAGTTTTTTTCTGTCCTACTTTTCCGTTCCGTCGAAGTGCTATAAACTAAAGATGATTAATTCAAGAAAAAAAAATAATTACAATTTGAGTATCAATGTTTTTTCTTCCGAAGAGCCGGTTTTCAACGTCAACAATAGTGTTAACATACAGAAGCAAAATAAAAAAAAGTTAATAATCAAAATTTAGTATGTTTCTAGTCAAATTTTATTGGTATTATATTTGAAATAAAATTTGATCTATTAAATCAGTTTTATAGATTGATTTTATTTTGTAAGTTGATTTTTCATTAGTAAAAATATTTTCTTTCTATGTCAAAATAAGAAGTTAAATAAAATTCTTGTTTTTTTCTTCTTCTATTTTTATCAAGGATACACTGTTACATTATATTCTTGATTAAAGACAAAAAATAATTATATGTTCTTGTCTTTTAACTTGCTAACATGTTTTGCCCTCGACCAAATGTTATATCATCGTTCTTTTTTTTATATTTATCTTTTTACATAATGTTGGTTAATGGTAGTCACTACTCAGACAGATTGTTACTACTATTCACGAAAAAAAAAATTTTCTTGATTATTTCTTTTTCAAAGAAAAAAAAAGAAAATGTAACGATTCATTTTTCCTTTTTAGATTTGCGCAATATAAGTACATTTGCATATAGAATTAAAAAAATACGTTCTTTAATACTTTAAAAATATCTGAATGTCATCTCGATCACTTGGTCAATGTGTAGTATGTGATGATGATGCAGTTGGCATTAATTTTGCTGTTCCAACATGTGCACCATGTAAAGCATTTTTCCGTCGAAATGCTGTTAAACTTGGTGTAAGTTTATTGTTTTTTCAAATAAATATATTATATTCAAAAAAAAAACGTTTTTTTCTACAGAGACGTGATTTTATTTGTCAACATGATGGTGATTGTCCAGTAACGTATAAATCTCGTCGTTTTTGTAATTGTTGTCGTCTAGCAAAATGTTTTCGTGTTGGAATGCAAAAATCATTAATTCGATCCGAAGCTGAACGAGAAGCAAGAAAACAACTGATTGAACAAAATCGTCGAAAACGTAGTCAATATTTAGCCAAAAAAAATTCAGCCTTGGTAATATTGATATTAATATACAAATAAGACAAGATTTATCATGATTGAAATAATATTCATAGAATAAGTTTTAAGACTTATAGAATCGAATAGAATATGGCACAATGAAACTACGTTTTTTTCTAATCGTAACTTGATTAACTTGTTTTTGAGTAGTGGCGATCATGATCGTGTTAAATCTTCTCCAGACTTGACTTAGAGAAAATTATTTTAGGATTTATTTGCATTAAATCTAAAAAAAGAACCTTAAGTACTCTTGGTTGGATGAAGATAGCTGACGAGTGTTGTTTTATTCGGCTATTTCTCTTGCATTTTGCTGTACTTGACATGATTTTTAATAGGACTCGCTAAAAACTATAGAAAATTTAACTAAAACTTTTAATTCCTATTTAAACATCTGTTTCCATTGTCGTTACGGTCTTCAAGCTAAAACTAGTCCCCCGATATCTGTAACTCTATACATAAAACATTACAAAGGGCGTATTTCTTTTCTTTGAAATGATTATTCTTTATTCCTCTCTTGAACTCTCTCAGTAGCCTTGTTATTATGATAATATCACAGGTAAAAGCGACTATAAGGTTTCTGATAATTTTTGTCTACAGAAAGCCTCTGCCTATCTAATAGTATGTGCATTATCAAATTCTACTAAGTACTACTAATATATCGATAGGTGATGCTGCCTTCACCACAGTGATGGTACAGTGCAATGAAGATAGCGCAACCTATTGGCAGATCAACGGTATGTAGTGAAATCAGATAATGAATGTACTAGTAGATAGAGGATGTCATTTTATACAGGCCTACATATCTCCTCGTTCCATAGTCCAAAGTTTAAGGTCGCTTATATATACACCGCTGACGCAAAAGTTCTGACACTAAAGATTTACTTGTTTTTCGCTCGCTAAAAGATAACTGATTAGAATCAAACATTTTCGTTCTTTGTGAATAGATGTTCCGAATTTCTTTCTGGAGTAAGATTAAACAACTATCATCAGATTATTTCAAAATATTCAAAATAGTGTTCGTACAGAATAAGATTTAGGTCAATTTCGTATTTCGATTGAAATCTATCAACCTCAAAATGCGAAGTACCTTTTTAATAACTCAGAAACATTTTTTTTGCCAATGCCGATTTTCATAGAAACTAGCTCATCAGTGGAAACGCATAGATTTCGCTTATTATAATATCGCATTTTGTACCGTTTAGTTTAACCTGTTTCAAATAGAGAATTGCGGGTCCTTCCAGATCAGGATCCGGACTCAGCTAGGTCCGGCTTGAGTTTGAGCCAAAATTTTTTTATTTTTTGTCATATCCGAGCTCACATTTTCGTGGGCCCGTAGTTTCCTAAATTGAAAAGTGAATATCAAAAATAACTGTACATTGACTTTTGATGTCAGAAAGCAGCCAATAAACAGCTGAAATCTTGATCCTTCACTTGTTCATATACGCGCAGGATGCTAAATATTGTTGTAAAAAAGCCAGGATCTATGCCCGAAGTTTAATTTCTTCTCAGTTTCAGATCCCAGTCCACAAAAATTACGAATTTTACCAAAACTGCTATATTACTTTGTACCAACACAATTTAAGACTTTTCTACAAAATATACTGATAATTGTTTACTCTTACTCTAGAAGAAATATCCTAAACTATACTCAAAAATGGTAAAAAATTTTGTTGTCTAACTAACTCTAATTAGTTGTCCAATAGTACTTTCAAGATCAAGACATGAAAATTTATCTGTTAAAAATAACATCTATCTTATGTATAATTATAGATTCGTCCATCAACTTTATTACTATTATCACAAAGTCAACCACAAGCATTATCTGCATCGGATCAAACACTTCTTACAAATATTTGTAGTGCATATGAACGAACATGTATAGCAACAAAAAATGGACGATGTCCATCTTTTCCTAGTTCCAAACGTTCATCTTTACATATATTTCTTAATGATTATACTGAACGACAAAAAGCATTAGTGAAATATTTTAAACTTATACCTGAATTTGATTATTTATCAATGTCCGATAAAATACGTTTAATAAGAAATCATTTTTGTGTAACACTAACTATTAATGAAGCAACACTTTCTTCTGATATATCACGAGATTTAACTGATTCCGTAACAATATTATTTAATGGTACTATATCATCTAATCTTATTGAATGTATTAAATTAGTACATTCATATACAAATGATCGTACGCTACTAAAACTTCTTCTTATTGTTAAAAGTTTATCAAGTGGTATTAATAGATATACAAATGACACAGATATGGATCGTATTTATGATGATACATTAGCAATATTTTCAGCACAAAATATTTATGTAGAATTATTATGGAAATATCTTTTATCACATTGTCCATCGGAATTACATGCTGTAAAATTTTATAACAAATTAATACGTGATTTACTTTTTGTACAACGTGTTTGTTTTATGACAGAATCATATATAAATAGTTTATCTAATGAAATACTTCAAATGGAACCATTAATACAAAGTATGTGGCCAATATCGAATCAACAAGCTATTACATATATGGATACTAGTGATATGAAACAACTTGAGTAATATAGAAGAAAAATAAATTCTCACATGTAAATCATTAATAATGTTATCACAAAAAAAAACAAAACCTATAATTCTTTTAGGAAGATGGAAAGATTGAATGAACGGAAAACTTTGTGAACTATATTTAACAACAGTAATTAATAAAACTTTCTTTGCATACATATTTTATTGAAAAGTCGAATTTGTTTTTGTTATTGTCATTTATAGAACATATGCCCAGTATTAAACGTTTTTGTATTGTTTTCTTTTCTTCATTTGTGAAAGTAAATCTAAGCTTCTATTAGATTTAGTTGTCTTCGTCATTGTTGTCTATATACACATACATATATATATATGTTCGTAAGAAATAAAATTTTCAATTAATCATAAATAGTTAGAATTTTTTTGTAATGTATAAAAGATTATGTTTAATTTTAAATTTTAAATTTTGGTTTTCGACTTGAAATATCTATGGAAGCAAATTAAATGTCATATTCAATTAATATCAAGATCATCATATTTATGAATATAATTTGATTTTAGTAGTGATAAAATTTGACATTTGGTCTTATCAATGCAATATAAGTCAATGTCGATTTAGTTGAATGTTTTATATAATAAATAAAGAATTGTACAATTCTTACGATCTATCGTATAACTATCACATTATATACAAATTGCTTGTCCAATATACACGTTATAAAGCAACAAACAGAATTTCTTTTAATTTATCAAAACCATTTATGTTATGATACTTTAAATTGTACGAACCTATGTTGATGTCTGTATATTCATATAGTTTTCTTATTTGTCTTATCATCAGAAATAACAACTTTTTTTGCGAATGAATTGTTTGATTTATTAAATAATGAAGCCAGCAAGTGATCTTATTATCGTCAATACAATATTCTCAATATTTTAATCAAAATCATCTCTAATTTCTACTATGTCATGCATCAGTCTATTGAACTATATAAATTATTCAACTCATATGGAAGCTAAGTATTTTAGTAAAAACTCATTAATTTCATTTCTCTCAGTACAGCAGATGTTATGATATGATAATCACTAATATGACTGTGCTTTATCTAAATTTTCTCTTCCGCCACGGTGATTTATAAGCCTGGAAGGGTAAACATTTATTTTTGATAATGCCGATACATAGCACGTCATAAAGGAACAACAGACTCTGAGAGGGACGCTCGCCATCTGGATTCTCACGGTGAATATAAAACCTTTCTATATGTCTATTATTTGAACAAAAAATTTTGTAAGCAAATCTATTCCTAGATTTTCTAGTGTATTGTTTGATTCGATCATAAATTCAAAATTCGATAACAGATGAGTGTCTCTGTTCGTTATAATCAATTTTGATTTTTTGTTAAAGTCATCTTCAAACAAAAAAAAGAAACATATATTAAAGAATGTTCAATATTGAAAAATTATACAAAATATTCCTTGGAATATTTGTTTTTCGCGTTATTCTTGAAATAAATTAAGAATATCATTTGCAATTATACTTGTCGGCCTATTACCATCGATAACATGTAAACGAGAACTGGGTATATGATTTCGATAGATAAAATCAAGTCGACGACGAAATACTTCTTGTGCAGCTAATTGTTTTTCTTCTAATGTAATAGGTATTGATCGTTGAGTAATACGTCGACAACGTTCTATTTCATCGACATAAATATAAATAATTAAAGCTGGTTGAACGAGATAATTAGGCCATGAAATTTTTATTTGCTCATTTTCATTTAGTTTTGCTAATTGATAAGCAATTGTTGATGGCCAATATCGATCAAGAATATTTATTATATCTGATTGATTTTTTAATTCCAAAGAAATAATTAAATTTCCTAAATTATAATATGCACGACGAATAGATTCTGATTGTGCATCAAAATAAGATCGAAATGAAAGAAGTTGATCAGGTGGTGTAGATAATAAACGTGAGTTTTGTTTACGTATATTTAATTGATGATGTAATTCATTTGCTAATGTTGATTTACCACAACCATCAAGACCTATAAGAAAATAAATTTTCGATCTAATAAATTTTAAATTAAATTTTATACCTTCTAAATCAATACAACGTGCTATATATTGATCTTCATGTAATTCATTATTTTGAGATTTCAAAACAGTAAGCAGTTGTTTTTCAGTATTATCCAATATTATTGAAAATATTGCAATATTAGGAATTAACGAGAATTGATTATTAATGATATGATTGCGAAGTATTTGTAAAATTTCCATTTTGTTTAAGTTTTAAGTTAAAACACAAGTTTAAATTCTTTATTGGTCATTAGTTTTTTTCCCAGAACTTTTTCTTCCTGTGATTCAGAAAAATATATGACGTCAAAGCAAAATACCCGATGAAGTCAACACGATGAATCATCGAAAAAAGCACCGAAAGAAAAAAAAAACACCAACATGTAATCTGTTTATTCGGTTTGATATTTTTTCTCAGTAGATAAAAATAAAATAAAAGATAAACTGATACATAAAAAGAGTGTCCATACCATCTGTCAGTCTATTTCTAAGTCATGACAATGCATTTTAAAAATCGAATCTCAAGAGAATTCTTTCAATTCAATACATTACTATTATGAGAAGCATACCAAATTTCTTATGAATATTTGCATCATGTTGCTTTATTTTTCAAATGTTGAATAAAATGATCCTTTAATATAATGATGATCAATCCTAGGTTCATCTTGGACGTATGGAATACCATACAAATCATTGTGATACACTTTTAATTTAGATCCTCCATTCCTCAAAAATCGATCTTATGACAGATGGATATGTTCAAATTGCATAAAATTTGCAGGATATTTTAGATAATCTATGCCAAGCTTTTCAACTCTGTGTTCATTCTATATGTATTTAATTTTTTTCTCTTTGAAAAAGTATGTCAAGCTGCAGGAGATGACAGAACCTTATTTTTAATTTTAAGCGAAGAAAACGGATAGCAAATTCAATGTCTCGAAAAAAATTTCAAATACTGACACTAATTATGAATGCACTTTTTTATATAATAGTAATAAAGCTTATTTCACAAAAAGTACTTTCACATGCTCTGCATCTTGATATACTCTTTCAGGAATTCTGAGATGCGCAATTCAGAAAAGCATAAGTACAGAAAAAATGACACACATTTCCAATTTTTTCTTAATATAGCACATGTTGCAATTAGATAATGACAGAAATCATCAAAAACTTTTGCAAAAAAATAAAGTACCAAATAAAAAATTATATCGCTTATGAAAGATCAAGTCTTGAACTGTCTTCTCGTGCATTTATCTTAATTTGAATCAGTCTCTATTAGATGATCAATTCTTGAAATATAACATGAAAAGCTATTGGCACAGTTCAGGCAGAATTAAAATTTGAGATACGATGTCGTTGCCCTTGCTAATCACAGAAAGATTGTTTGATATTTTACTAAGATGTTATTAAGTATGTGGTCTGTGATCAGTTGCTTCAGACGTGTAAGTCACAGCTGCGGGAAAGCCAACCGCTCCAAATTTCTATCACTACACTTCAACACTTCTGTTAGATTGTATTTTACAAAATAGGAAACTAGTCGACTGAATAAAAGTTAATTAATACTAGATAATATTAATTTAATAATCGGTTAGACAAGTATAAAAAAAAATGTTGAATCATCTCTTCTTTATTGCACTAACAGTTTTTAAAAATAAATATTCTTCATGATAGAGTTTTTCAAAAGAAAATCTAGAAGTCATATTATCTTTGAGATATAATTTATTTATAAGATAATCTTCACTAAACTATAATATTCGTTTGATTTTTGTTTTTTTGGTTACATGGTTATTCTAATCTGATAAAATGATTTCTATTCATTAAAAAAAAATTAAATCAATGGTTGACAAAGTCGAGCTATTGTTAATAAACAATAATTTGATGTTTTGTATTGTTGTTGTAAAATATCTCTAATATCATCAATATTTAAATGGTATACAGATTGATTATTTATCTAGAATAAAAATTCTTATAAGAAAACTTTTTTTTTAAATATTTAAAAATCTCACTTTTAATATAATATCATTTTCTTTGAGATATTTCATATCTATCAATGATTCAATAGCTGTTACTTGACAAATATGTTTTTGTCGTTTAGAACGAATTTGTTTAAAATTTGTTTCAATTGAACATTGTAATAAAGGTCGTCGACCATTAAGAATTGAATATGGAATTAAACAAGATGGTTTTAATTGCACTGTACCTGTTGTCATTGTATAAAGAGTCAATTTTCTTGGATCATCTATATTAAAAGTTGATATTGTATAATAATCAGATAAAGATGATGATTCATCGAATAGATTTGTTTTAATTAAAATATTTTCTTTATCATCATATTCATCATCATCATTGATCAATGATATATTATTATCAATGTTTTGTATTTGAACAGATGATAAAGTTAATTGATCAAGCATAGTTGTAAAATCAACAGAAGAACATTCATTATCTAAATGATCAAGTAAATGAAATAGTTGATTTTTATCATATTGTTCTATAGGATGAGAAGGTAATTGTCTTTTTGTTATTTTATTTGTATTATTTTGTTCACGTGATAATAATGAACGTGGAAAATAACAATGATTAAAAGGTAAAACATTTGATGTCGTATATTGTAATGAATTTTCAGTTGAACTAATTTTTATTTCACTACCATCAGCACGTTGAGCTATTGGTTTATACAAAATTTTTATAATTGAATGATTTAATGATGATGATGATGTTAGTGATTGTTCCAATGATGTTGATGATGATAATGATTGATGTTCATTAGTATTTAAACTAATATTTATTTGACTTTCATCAAAAGATAATTTTGATAATATACTAGGATTTATTGTATTCAATGATGATGTCATTGTTGATGAGTTTGACTAGAATATTATTTGATAAAATGTAAAAAAAAATTTTTATTTTTAATTAATGTTCTTACTCGTTCTTGAGCATTGAAATGTTGAATAAGTTCGTTTGTATTATTTTCAATTTCACTTGTTGTTTGTAAACCAATTGTAATCGATTCATTATCATTAGGTTTATAAGTTTTTGATGTTTGATTTCGTCGTTTATTACCATTTAAAGCACGTAATCGTCGATCGAATTCATCTAATATACTATCATCATTATTAAAATTTGTTTTATATTTAAGAAATTTATGATATCGATCAAGAGTACCATTATCATCAAGTGAACTACCATCACTTCTTTTTTGAAGAAGTTCTTGTAAAAATTCATTTGCTTTTCGATATGTTTTCATTCGACGATCATGTACTTCTTCACCACTTTTTTGCATACCTATTCGAGATGATGTCCATTCATATTTAGCCATAATAGTACTATTAAGTCGTTGAACATTTGAAAAACTATCCTTTTCATTCATAGCGGTTTGTGGTTATGTATTGATTAAAATGAATTTCAAAACATATAATGACAGAATACAAAATCAAATAAGAAAGAAGACTATAAAAAAGAAAAGAAGAAAAGAAAAAGAATTATTGAAGAAACTGAGAAGATATTTCAATCAATATATTAAAAAAACGAACATAAAAGATGACAGAAACGAACATGTTAAATAAACATAAGATGACAGTAAAGAAATGGTAACAGACGTCTTATACATACATTCGATTTGCCTATGTGTATGTGACGTCGATAATGCAAAAAGAAAAGAAATAGTCAAATAAATATAAATAAAGAAAATGAAATTCGATGTTATTTTATAAAAAGTTTCAAAAAGAAAAATCTAGTATTAAAAGTGATGTTTGTTTATTTGAATTATCAAGAGTTATACTTCTTTTTCTTTAAATGAATCAAAGGCAAAATTGATTTTAGTTTTTAGTTAATCTATTAAAAAATTCCATTAGTTTACAACAAAAGATGAAGATGTTGAACTATTTCAGTTTTAATTCTATATGTCATTCTACAAATTTACGTATGAATAGAAATATCTTTTACGGTAGTCTTCAGTTTTCATATTGATCACATTGAAAAAGCATTGATAAGAGTTTTGTCCTTAGTTTTTGACCATGAATACATCATTACTTTTGTCATAAAATCTACAATTGAAATGAAAGTATGACATTGAAGATAAATCAAATGAAGTTGTGTAAGATAATAAACTCGTATTAGTGAACACATTGAATTATTGTAAACATATCTATTATTTTTAGACACAACGAATCGTAATAATAGTTTTGAAGATATTTATTACATAATTCATATGAAATAGATTCAATTTAAGCTAATAGAAATTATATTCTATAATCAAGCAGACCCTTGTTTGTTTTTGAATAGTTAAGACATCCATCTGTTATTTATATCATTTTAAATTTATTGATATTATTTAACGAAAATATATTTAAAGCCAACTATGATAGATGAACGGGAAAATAGCTCGATTTTATATAGCTTACAGTTTTCTCTGTTATACTTTTTTGATTGTGTATCCCAGAGTTCTCATTACGATACTTAGCGAACCATAATCTTTTCAAGTTTATAATGATTAGACATCGTTTGTTGGATACGCTTGAAATTCTTTAATTGTGATATCAGGATCATCATTAATAAGGCAATGAATCTATTCAAGTTTTTCGGATTAAGCTGAAGCCTGATTTCCGAAATTAAATACAGGACAGTGCGGACTTGAATGCAGAAATGAAAGTTTTCTTAATGCAACAAAATTGGAGTTAAACAGCTATGATCGAAACTTTAATATCATAGTAAATAAAGAATGATGAAATATTTTAGCGTTATCAAGCATTGCTTAGACTATTAGTATACATATATATGCATATAAAACACCCTTGAGTCCTTCTGTAATGTAGTATAGTGTTACTGCCACTTGTTTTGGTGTATCCTAAGTATATTGCTTAATTCATTCACATACGAAAAATAAAAAGTATCAATACCATGTCGTTTACCTTGTTGTTCTTGTTAATTGATACCCAATAAATCTTCTCTATCAAAAGCAAACATATTCAAAAGTAATTTCTCAAAATGAAAGTATTTATTTAAGAAGTATTAATTTCGCACAACCTATTGCAGAACATGGTCATTATAATACGGATAAAATACCTGAACTGGTTGTAAGACATACAAAACGATTGATTCACTAAAACAATTATTGCCAACATGGTTTCATAAACCTGATTATCGTTGTATACATTGTTTTAGTTATGATCTACTATTTACATCATAACAATTTATGATACACGTTAATGATCAACACATATCAGATATCAATTTATGAAGATCGGAAAATTTCTATCCTTTATATGGAATGAGTTTTGCACAAATTAAACTAATTATGTAAAGTAATTTTAGAGAATTCACGTATTTCGTTATCCAATAGGTTAGAAGAAAATAAAGATTCTAGTAAACGTAAGTTTCAAGTGGAGATTTTTTGGCTTTCCCGTGTCCCCATATTTGACCCACCTGTGCACTACGAATCCATCCAATGTGTCTCGGAATAAAGAAGAAACACATCAAGAACAAAAGCATCAGCACTAACACAAAATTAATGCTATTCAATAATCGCTTTCTGTACCATCCTTTACTTAAAAAGCATATCGACAATCACATATCATTATAAGCTCATTCATCTATATGAAAATAAATAACCGATTTCAATTTATTGAAGTTTATTAATGTTTTGCTTGATCTGGCAAACCAGTTCTTCTATAAATGCCTCTTCATGTGCTTGGTTGTCAATGACTTGAAAATCAAAGTTAAGTAAGATTTGAAGTAAACTAACAACATTAGATTCTTCACTACTACTCATACACGATGGTAACGAAAAGAAAATTAAAAGTACAGCTCGGATACGATGATAACTAATTGATTGCAATTTCAAACGTGTAGAAGACTCGAAGACTAAAAGATTGGTCGACTCTTCCTCATGCAATTATAACCATCAAAAGCAGTGACGGCTTCAATTTATTTTTAATCAATGTTAGGCAAAAAAACTAAATCCAATCTATACACCTGATACTTTACTTTTACAAAACTGACACGCTCATCTTCGTGTTTCTTCAGAACTGATGAAAAAATTGGCGATTAATCGTGAGTTGAAATGCAATGAATCGCCAGTTGTTGTTCGATAATTTTGACTATTTTTCAGATAGATCGTGATTTTATAGTTGATTTTTATACTTCATTGTGTCGCTAATAGAAATAATTTTATTCATGTGACCTATCTATTTTCACTTTTAATTTAGATAAATTCGTGTTACTAATTTATGATGATGGATAGTCTTATTCCAAATTCTACATGAATAAAACATAATAAAAATAAAACACGTTCATATGTGCAAATTGACGTTTTGAATTAGCCTTTTCTCTGAAATCACTTCACACATATGCGTTTTTTGTTAATGAATTTTATATTTAAAGCAGAGGAGAAAATAGAAACCGTAATTAAAAACCAGAACTAACAGGATGACAATATAAGAAACCATCTTAAGGTAGAAAGGCAAGCTTTTCTAGTTTATATTAATCTAGGATTGAAGGATTCACATAAAACTGACTCTAAAAAATTAGAAAACTCTTAAGAAGATTGTACGAATATTCTATTGTAAGAGTTAATATTTATCTGACTATAAGATGCTATTGTAAACCTTACAAGATTCTTACTATCAGATATTTGCAAACTCTGATGCTCGAAATTTTGGCAGAACTTATACGAAGCTATTAAATACGTTTTAATTTATACACTAGTTATCGAAAATGGAAGATACATCGCCCATGTAGTAGTGTTGACCTGCTAAAAAATCACTCTACAAATAATTTAATCAATTCAGTCAAATAGAATAGATTTTCTTTTTTTTTTATTTTAGAGCATTTTAACGATCGAATTTAATAGAAATTTTTTTGTATGTTCTTAAGTACTTACATCTGTTTTCAATTTTTTCCTTAGACGAATTGTTTTTTCATATTCACGAAACTTCTGAGTATCTTGAGCAAGCAATCATGTAATATAAACACACCTTGAGACCTTTAGAAAAGTTCAGATGCCTGAATTTCTTATTCTATCGCTTATGTGTGTGTAAGGATGAATGCAAACGAAAGTCCGTTTCTATTGCAAGCTAGCTTTAGTAATACTCCATTAAATCCAGTCGTCTTTTACATCGACGAAAATGATATCTATGGTGCATGAAACTTATTTTAATTATATGTTATTTGCGCTTTTTATTATTTTTTTCTTCCGTTTCATACTCAGAACGATTCGACTCATAATAAAAACTCACAATTTCAATAACAAAGTCTGTAATAGACAAATAAAAAGAGGAATCTATATGAATAAATGGATTCAGATATTCTCGATGATACGAATCATTCTTCTATCTTGAACAGAAAATTTTTTATTATTGTATTCAAGTTGATTGTCTCACGTGAGCTCATTCGTATAATGTTCATGGCTTTAACATATGAGTTAATATAACTGTGTACATAACTCATGCAATCATTTAAATGCTTGGCTTTGAAAAGAAAGTCATGTGATATGGACACATCTTGAGATCTGTGTATGTCAAGCACATGAAAAAAAAGTTCGCCTAGGAAAATAAACATATGCGTATAAAGATAAAAAACTTTTAAAAAAAATTAATATGATAGAAGCCAAAAATAGAAAAAAATCAGACAGGATACATCATGAGAAGCCTTGGCAAATCACACATGAATCATGAAGTAAGATTTTATCAGAAAACGTGACTTTAAGATTGGCGTATACTATCGTAGAAGATCTTATAATAGGATTGTTTGGCCTCGATATCTAAAATTATCTATATGATCAAAAACATCTTCTGATGCGAATGAGAAGTTCAGTTCGAACGTTCTCTAAAATAGTCCAATCTTGTTGTTGAAGTTATAGAAATAAGATCAATGCCAAAAGTAATTTTTTCTTTTGGTTTCATATCCTTATGATTATATTTGATTGTAAATTTTACAGATTTGGAATATTTCTCTAATTAATTGATAATGCGCAACAAGTTACTAAAATCAGTGATTGAATTCAATTTATCGATCTGAATTATCACCGATTCTCAAAAAATTATTTTGTGTGTCATAATAACGATAAAATCTAACTTTTTATGAAATGCAAGTAATTATAATTTTATATAGACTTTTTTGAAAACCGTTGCAATTTTTCACGACACGGATCATTTATTATAATGAGATGTTATTGATATACAATCAAAAATCATATATCAACAATGTTTGCCATGATCTGTGGAGACGGACGCAAATTTCTACTCTATGTATTTGAACACTCTTTTTAGCTCATACTTTACAAAAAAAAACATATAGAAAACCCAAATTATGCTGCTGATACTCTATTTGTACTAGTATTAACTATGAACTTCGTACTTCAGATAGTGAGGATATCTTGTTTTTTAGATCATTCATTAAAATTTCATGTGTTTTACATGAGATGATTGAATTGAAAAGTCAAAATAGCTTGAGTGATAGATTTAAGATCGATTCCGTAATTCGATCAAAAAACATTATTTGAATATAGGAAGAAGAATTTGATGAAGATGACATCTCAAAATTATAAAAAATATGTATATAAAAATATAGATTATGAGTTTAAAGAGTGAAATGCTGCATTTTATTTTTCGATGGGCAGAAGGAAAATGCAGACATTTTCTCTTCATGTCAAAACAACTTTTTTCTCAGAAGTCTTCTTGTTAATCGGCTTAAACGATCGAATCAGGAAACACAACTAGTTCATATAATCAAATTAAAATAGCACGAGAACGGACTAAAATAATGATGAATTGTCTTAGTAACGGCTACTGCTCTTTCTGGACTAACTAATTTTGAATGAAAAAATAGAGCAATATTAACTCTATTCGAGACACTAGAAAATGGGTTCAAACGATCGTTGTAAAAAGACGTTATGAATTGTGCCGTAGAAATAAAATAAAAGTTCATGAATGCGTTTATGTCTCGTACTGTATAATTAGAGTGAAGCAAAAATTATTAAAAAATGTGAAAGATGACAGACCATCAATTTGTGTGGACTATTTATTAGTAGAATAAGGAAAAATAAGATAATTACATTAACGTTCGACTTTACTAGATACAACACTAAAGTGTTTTTGTTTTTTTTTCTTGAGATAGTAACACATGCTAAACTACTCGAGTTTCAGAAAAATAAATAGATATATATAATATGTAGATATAATTAGTTAGGTCTTATCACATAATATGACTAAGAATTTCTTTCATATGATTGATATAAACACCTGTTTCCAATTGATATATTAAAATAATTTCGAAAAAGTCAGTAAAAAGATAAGTAAGTATTAGAAATGTACGGTTATTATTTTTTTGTAGAACATCAATCAATTGTGTAGTTAAAATTTTTTTTAATCAGAACAAAATCTACGTACGAGTATGAGTAAATGAAAAGATTGTTGCCTATTTTCCATACCTATTACCATATAGATCATTCATGCTGATTGCTCTTTTACTATCCATCTAATGGAATGTAAAAAAAATAATGCTAAATGTCATGCACAAGTTACATAAGGCTTTGTTTTGTGTTGCATAGAATCTACATAAAAATCTATAGTAATATAACTAGTTTTTCTTCTATTAACATTCAAAACATGAATGTCTATATTAAAAAATTGTTTCAACGCATTTATTAAAAAAACGTATATTTATTGATATAGTAGTTTAGAAAATAACAATGAATAACAATACGTCATTGATATGTTTACTAAATCAAAATGGGATTGATATACTTGTATGGCAAATAGGTGCGTTATTATTTCCTATTTTTGGTATACCTGGTAATTTTATGATGATAATGACAATGTTAAATTCTAATCGACGACGTTCTCAACCAACATCTTTATATTTTATATTTATTTCAATTACTGAATCAATATATTTAGGATTCTTTTTTTGGGATTGGCTTGATGTTGTTAATTTAGCACCAGATCCACGTCAAATACTTGATTGTGCCTTTTTTTATCCATTTGTTAGTGGTACAGGATATATATCACTTATATTATTTGTTCAATTAAATCTTGATCGAATTTATATTATTCAGAAACCACAACAAAAATATTCACATTTAACACATAAACGAATTTTAATAAAAATTATTTTAACATTTAGTACATTCTTATTTTTCATTTTACATTATCGTTTTTCTGTTTATTATGATTCGAAAGGATTTATTATATTTGGTCAATCATGTCGTGTATATCAACATGCACGTATATGGTTTTATTATATATGGCCTTACATACATTTAATTTTACGATTAATACCATGTATAATTATGATTTGTTGTACAACATATATTTTTTATAATCGCTATTATGAAAATTATGATAGAAAAACTATTTCACATCGAAAACAACAAACATTTTCTTTAGTACTTATTTTTTTTAGTATATATACATTTTTAGCTGTTATGCCAATAAGTATTTTACAAACATTTAATCAACAAATGTGGAAATATGAATACGAATGTGTTTCTTGTGATTGTATAGAAATTAATAGTCAAATAAACAAATGGAAATTATTAAATGCTATAAGTATTATGTGGGAAACTTCAATTTATATGAATAAATTTTATATAAAATTTATATTTTCATCTGACTTTCGTTATGATGTTAAACAAGTCATATTTCGTCGATATACAACTGACATCACTCAAAAAACTCATTATACTGGAAATGGATATATAACGGTTTAGAATAATTGAAACAAGAAAGACTTCTCAAATATAATTGTTTTTGTTTTCGATAATTGTAATAAACTAATGTTAAATTTTTCAAGTCGTTGATACTAATAAAAAACTCAATGATTTTACGTAAGAAACCAACATGAATGAAATTTATTGGAGAGTTATAATCGAATCCCATTGACATGTTTTGCTGAGATCACATTTCATAAAATAAACGATGAAGTTCTCAAATGAAGTAGAAGATATGCCGAATCTATCTGAGACATTTCCATTCGTACAGGGCGAAATTTTCTTAGCAATTACTTACATATTTACATCAAATTTTAAGGGTTGCTAGATCATCATGTTATACATAAACATGTGACAGTTATATATCAACTAACTAAGATGACATTCAACTTCTAATGATGTGAACTGAAGTTATTTGTAATCGAAGGAGAACCATCGTACTTTTGAAATAAAATTACTAGATACTACTTTGAACTATTTGAAAGGTACTCTGTTTTACTACGTTCTACTTGAGATTGTTTGACAAAAATGTGAGCCTAAAGTTTACATATTATGACGAGAGTTCATCCTCGATTTTTACATGGTAATAATACGAAAATATAGAAAAAGTTAATGGTATAAAAAAAAAAATGAAAGTGATATTTTGATACGCTATGACAGAAGTAAGTGAAAAGAAATTATAGAAAGCTTATAGAAACAATTGTTCAAGATGTGGATTGAAGAAACTGTTTAGTTCAGTAAGAATGAAATATTAGAATATAGTAGATGACACTCACTCAACTTAAAACAAAGAAGAAAGATGCTCACATCAAACTTCTTTATCATCTTTGTTATAATTATAATATTGAATATCTCAAAAGTTGAGTTCAATTCGATGCTTGACTTCGATGGCAAAAAAAAGTGTAACTGTTTCATTATTATTGAAAGTCTATTTTTGTAAAATCAGTTTATCCATACAGAACTAAGAGTAGTAAAATGTTACACGCAATAAAATCCTTTTTGACTCGTATAGAATGAAACTTCATTTGAATTCGACTCATTCAATTATATTCCTATTAAACCACCATTCACAACGTGACAGAGGATCTAATTCTCAAGTTTTTGCCAAAACGACGTCTTCAGTCAGAAAAATTGAAATTTCTCGAAGATTTTTTCATATTTGATATTCGTGTTGAACAAAGTGAGATTTTATATCATGAAGTCAGAGTTTTTTGGTTTATTTCCACCTCATGTGTACTAAAATCATTATAAAAAAATGAACGGAAAAGAATTTTAAAGTTGTGTTGAGCCAGAGAATAGATGTTAGGTTTAGTTTCAAACTGCGTCGAGCTTAGAGATAGAACTAGCACCGATTACAGACCGAGTCCATCTCTGTCCTCTCCTAAAAGCCATAAATAGGCTACGAATAAGCTAGATATTTGGTCTAATTTTATGTATTCTGCCGAAGTTTTCAAGAAAAACGTTTCTCATTAGGATAGAGGTGGTGAACGATGAATACGGCAAATTTAGAAGGAAAAAGTCAAGCACGCATACAAAGAATGACAATGAGGACTAGGCATGTACTCAAGCTGTTTGAGTCGTTTTAGCCTCTGCGAAGAAAACTTGTTCCTCTCTACTGAACGATGTAAAACTACACGCTAAAGTAAGTAAACGGAAGTACAAACCAAGTAAGTTTGGGTTTCGATTGATTTTCAGTTCCCTTGCAAACTCGTATTATACCAAACGGTTTATTTATATAGTTCACAATAAATGAGATAAATTTCAAATATTAAAATTCTGTTATTGAGCTTGTATGCATCTCTAGAGAAGACAATCATTCACACTCGTATGCATGGTTCCGGTTCTCTAAATGTAAGATAAAAACCATTTTCTTACAGTTTTATGTAATAACTAGTACATGATTTTATAGAAGAATATCTGGACAACGTATGCAATAACTGAAAATAAAATACACAATGTCTTCTGTGTTTGTTTTTCTACCTTTGAACGCATGTCATTAGTCATATGATGTTTGAAATAAGTAAGAGTAAAGCAAAAACATTCAGACTCAATTTGTCAGCTCAAATATAATTGAACAATCAAAAGTCAGTATAATACATATGCATATTTATTGTTCGTATCTAGTTTACTATTTGTAACGAACACATCATTTTAGTAAAGAACATAACAGGTCTCACCAAATTTTTGCAAACATACTCATTCAACGCTTTATAATAACTAATAAATCCTGATGTTATGGACACACTGTCGATGAAAGTAGCAAATAGATCTTAAGTATTTTGAACTTCTCAGTGATACCATATACATTTTAAATCTTTCAAAACTTACTCATAAAAAGAAGTTCACTTATTTGAAACACTTGAATCATGAAAGACAAACAGCAATTATATCTATCATTGTCAGTTTTTTTATAATCTTTCGAAATATAAGTAAATCTAGTGGATTGAATTCGATGAAAACAATTTTAAACAATGGCATAATGCACGTACAATTCAACTAGAAGAAAATATTGATAAGATATCACTGATTGTTTATCAAACTGTTTTTGATCTCATTAGCTTTCCTGAGTCTGATAAGATCCGACGAGACAGAACTCGAATAGGAATGAACAATTATCGTTTACATCTTTGAATTTACTTTCAAGGACTTTAATATATTTCTTGGTAATTCACCGTAGTGGAAAATATTTTAATGTACTTAGAACTACATGGAAATATATTTTAATTGCTTTTATATTGTAATATACTTCAAGTATAAAAGTACATCATCGTCACTCAAACATGAAATATCTGATTTTCATCTATACCGGTTAAGTAAAGAAAAGTTTTTCTAATCGTCAACTGATAGGAAGATTCTCGTAAACTATTGAGCTGTGTGCTGTTGCACAATATGTGATACATATTAACACATTCTATTGTGTATGCTGAGTATAAATATCGAGTGTCGTTGCGTGTAATAATCAAATTTTCAAAGCAACGTTCTAAGAGTTTTCCTGGTCATAGAAACTGAGTTTATTATTACACACTATTCATTGAACTATAAATTGAATTTCAGAAGAAAACATTCCTACTATCGAACACGTCTTATGCTTATAGAACAATACATATATATGAAAGTTTATTGATGTTTGTTCATTGTTTCAAATCTGATTTAACATAAGTTCAAGTATTAAATTATGATGAAAGTTTTGTAAAGTTCTTGACCTATTAAAAGATGTCCGGTGAATAAATCAAGTAAAAGAGAATACGGCTGATCCTTCTTCATAATCGACTTTTTTTTGATGATGTCCGTAGATTATTGATTATTTTAACATTTATGTACATAGTGAAAGCTAAGATTAATATGGATTGTATTTAGTTTTCGCCTTTTTGATGATACGTCAGCAGCAATTTACACAATTCATACAAAAAGCTAATAAAAAATAATAGTTAGTTTAAAAAAATTCGTTTCTCAGAATATTTTCGTAATCCATAGCAGTATACTCTGAAAAGATTTTTAATTTTTCTTTACGAAAGTTTTGTTCCTAGGATCATATAACTGAAGTAATACATCATGTATTCAAACACATCACATATGAAGAGATTAATTTTACATCTGAAGTTCTTCAGTAAAATTCTGTTTGTCTATGGTTTAAAACTAACATCCGTTTATGTAATGTTTTCTAGATATTCGTAAATATTCTACACACTAGCAAATGAGTAAGAGATTAATAACTAATTACGTTATACATTTCCATCTATAGTAATCAAATGTCTATATAAGCAGTTGACATAAATAACATCGATTAAAAATAGAAATGCTTATCTCCTTTCATACAACTATATAACTATACGAAGCGATATATGTTGTGAATGACTAATCTGATTCTAAAAATAACCTATAATCATGTGATGTCAAATTTGGGTTGAAGAATAATTTGTGTAATTCGTTTTTCTCAAACAGATCTTTATTATGTTACTACTATACTTGGATGTTTAACCGATCATGGAACTGTATTTATTCACATTTATATATTTTTCATAGATGACAACGAATTTTTACAGAGATTTAACATCCTAAATATCTATCAAGCAATCTAATTAATAATGTTTTCGATATTCATGTGCAATGAAAGTTCTTTACTGTTATCGACTGCTTCTATATTGAAATTAATATCTTCATTTTCATTTTTGTTGACTTTGTGGTAATTCTTTACATTTTTAATATGATGTATAGGTTCTTTTGACAATGGATCATAAATAATAAGCCGTACAAGCATCTATGAGAAGAGTATGCCTCTCTGGTTGGTCATCTCAAGCTATAACCATGTCATGCTCAGTATCATCATTAGTAAGCATTCAAATTGTAAATAGCTATTAACAAACGATAGCCATGATATATATATAAATACTCAAATAAGAAAAATGGTAAAATATACGTCAGAGTAATACAAAGAAAAATCAAGATAAGAACAGTGTCACGTATGCATAAAATGATTCATCTCTCCCTTTTGTTAATAATTGTCGTGTATTAAAAAACGTTGTATTGTAGCGAATCTAGTCCTCTATATAATTATAGTCATAATGCGTAATAAAGATATTATTCAAAAGAGCTAAAAACATAAAAAGTGAAAAACTCTAAGTTTTAACTTGAACTTAAGATCAAAGAACTGTAGTAATTTTATAAACTGTGTCCAAATTTGAAGGTATGATTAATTGTATTATTTCACTAACACTCATTGTCATCAATAATCTATTTGCTTTATATGGTATCTGTTTTTTTTTTCATTTCTATTGTACGAACATTGCATAAATAAAATAAACTTATTTCTCTAATAATAATTTCGAAAACAAAAAAAAGACTATAGTAAAATTACAAATTATCACTCTGACAACCAAATATATGATTGAATACGAGATTCTGAGTTTATAAATCTGTTCAAAGATACATTTTTTTCGGATATCAAAGCACAAACTGTGACCATGTTTCTTGTTTGCATCCTATTCATTATTTAAAAAATCTTGATTTTCTTTGTACCAAAAGTTATTGTGACCAGTGAAAGAAAATATAGGTATCGGATTGAATAAGAAATATAAAATATTATGTAGAGTAGATTTAATTTATAAGATGGCAAAGAAAAGAAAAAAACTGTACCAATTTTGTTTTATACTCTTAAAGGATTTTTTTTGCTTGAACAAAAAATGACATATATAATGTGTATGTCACATCGTGATTATTTGGTTTAAACTTGATATCAATTAGTTGTTGATATTAAAGAAAAAAAAAGAATATATACACTATGTAAAATAATTATGCGAACACCTTGTAACTATTTTTTATGGCGCGTTTATTCTGCATCAAAATGTTTTGAGTTATATACCATTCAATGGAGAAAATCAAACTGAGTATAATGATGTCCTTGATTTCGAAAAATCATTCTAAAAGACATATTAATTTCTAATTAAAATTACTATTACGTATTGCTCTTTTGATAATCTTGGTTTGTAGGAAACAAAATCAAAGTCAAGGTTTTTTGAACGATACAGACTTTTGGAGAGTTAAGGTCTACAAAATGGGTCGCTTAAGTACACGATAATTATTTTTTTTAGTATGTCAAGAACCTTTCTTTTCAAGTACAATTTACAGTGAAGGAAGAAAACAAAAGAAATTTTTTTCGTTCTGCCACTCTATGTGCATGGTGTATGGATACGTATACATTTCTTTCCTTGATTCATTGGCTTAGCGTATGTACAGTGACGGAAAGAAAAAAATTTTTTTTTCCTTTCTCCATCGATAGCTGTACTTGAAAAGATAAGTTCTTGACATATTCAGGAAAAAATAATCATTATGCTACCATGCATATCATTTTGGAGACCTTAACTCTTCAAAAATCTGTATCATTGAAAAGCTTTTGAACTTGATTTTGCTCCTTACAAATCAGGGTTATCGGGAGACCTACATGAAATATTACTTTTAATTAGCAACCAATATGCCTTTTAGTTAGTAATTTTTAGGAATCAAAAGCATGATACGATTTAGTTTGGCTTTCTCTCTAGAATGACATATAACTCAAAATATTTTAGTGCAGAAGAAAGACGCCATGAAAAGAAAAGTGTAGAGAATTGGAATATCCTTTTTATATAGAAAATCAACCAGTTTATATAAAACTTTCCAAAACTTGATGAAAACTTTTCTTTTGGAGAAATTATTTTGTTGTAGAATAAAGTAGTAACTTCGGTCTATCGAATGGTATAATTAGGGTCGAGAAAATGTTGTTTTTTTTTCTGTATGAAATTTACTTCAGAAGACAAGTATTGTAAAGTATCCGAATAATTATATCACATAATGTATTCTAATAATTAATTTTTTATTTCAAACGTATTTCTATCATTCTTTTTGCTAATAAGTATATAAAAAATTATTTAGAAACAACATTAACCATTAATTTTTTGTTAACACTTTATATATGAATTATAGATCTATTCTGATGACAGTATGAGTTGTAACTATTGATAAAAGCTCTCTAAAATACGATATTTTGATTTGAATAATAGTTAAACTTAGTATGAATAAGAAAAAGACTTTATCAAACTAACTTGTTTTTCAATATCATATCTCAGTATATTAGATCAACTTGTAACCTTGGAATGTGATCGACAAGATGCTATAAGGATTTATTGTTTATATTCAAACACTTGAGTTTATCTTTTGTAGTATATAATATATGTTGATTGTACTAAAAGAAAGCCACAAATCAGAGGAAACATTCTGAGCTAATTCTTTTTTTGACATAGTTTTGTCTTTGTTTTTTTTTTGCAACTAATTTTTTCATGTTTAGCCTTGCATTTTATGCCAAATACCAAGATTCACAGAAAAAATTCTAAAACATTCCGAAATAAAATATATTCTGAAAGCTGTTCTAATTATATGATTATCTGCTATGGAAATCAAAACAAAATGTTTTAGAGTTTTCATATTATTAATTACACGCCTTACTATCGTCAGAATAGATTTATAATTCATATAAAATATTAAAAAAAAGTAATACTTGAATTTTTAAAATAATTTCTTTTATATTTATGAGTTTTGAAAATGAAACATTAACTATAAGTATATTTTTTCTTTTGTTTAATAGCATTAATTAATTTCGATACGATATGTATATCAGTAATTTTTAGTTTATATACATTTGTTTTTGAATAAACAAAAATTGAAAAATTATTTCACTCCAAAAAAAGTGCATAGTACTCGTTAAAATACAAATCAAATATTGTGCGGCAGTTAAGGACGTACTGTCGTCTATCGAGAAAAAGAAATAAAAAATGTTACATTTGAGAAAGAATGTAATAAATCACTCACGTGTCACAGACACGAGACTACAGAACTGAAAGAATAAAAATAACCTCGCGTTTTTTTTTAGTAGAATAATAAAAACGACCTTGGGTAATTCGGTCTTATCAAATTTGATAGTTGTTTTTTTTCTGGGATAAAATGTCTTGAAAAAACTAAAAAGCAACAAAAAGTAGAACACTTAAATAAATTTGCGATCATTTTCTTTTATTTCGATGCAATAGGTCTTTCGAGTACATATCATTATATTTCTATATTTATCTATATATATTTACGATTCCACTAGTATGATAGACGCAGTACATCGACCTGCGCACATCGTAGTTACCCTGAGAGCATAGTTCTCTTTCTTCTTTTCTCTTTTCCTTTTCGTTGGTCCTCCTGCGTCTTTCTATTTTTTTTTCACTTTTTTTTTATTGTTGCAACGCGTCAAAGGACTTGATAGTGTTGTTGTTAATGAAAGAAGAGGAAAAAAAGAAAGAACGTAAATGCTTCAGTACTTTGTGGACAAGAGTGCATATTTATCTATGAAGAACAACGTTAAGGGCGACAACATGAGCCTATACCTTCAAATCGACACGTATCCATTGTTTTATGTATAGTTATATAATGGTCTTTACAAAAGAAACTAATCATATTTATTCGTTTATAGATGTTTATATGGCGAATATCTTATTAAAATATTATATGGTGAGATTATTCAGTACACTTTTGAAAAAACTTTCCATTTAACAATTGATTATAGATATTATATTTATAATTTGATTTAAAATTCTTTTAAGAATTTTATGAAAGAAATTCTTACATGAAAATTTCTTTTGTTTTCTATTTATTGTGATAAAATGAGTGAAATTTTTATCGTATTTTTTTGACCCATAAGTTATCTCTCAGGAAAGTAGTGTGCATATAAATTATAATTTCATACTCGATTGTCCTCAAACCGATGATTCCCAATTGAATTGTATGATCTCGTTTTTTTTAATTTATATCTTCGTGTATATGAAAAAAATAAAATGTTCGATTTGCAATAATTTGTACTGATTGATATAAAGAGAAGGCTATGACATGAAAAGGAAAAAAACGACTTATTATTTTTTTCTATTAATCATTTTGTTGTTCTAGACGAAAGAGTAAAACACTCGACGGAGAAAGTACATTGACATTTAAACACATTTTATCAAAGAGCAACATAATTTTAGTAAAAAAAAAGTACATTGGATATGATGGATACTTATGACCATGACATCACTTATCGTCGAAATGATAAACATTCAAATCATGATGATAGTTCAATATTTATGAAAAATACATCAGACAAGGTAAACATGATATAGATATTTAATTAAATAAATCAGTATTTTTCTATTCTCACTTATAATAAAAAAAAGAAAGTATGATCAAATATTGTTTCTATTGAGTGAAAGGTATATTCATTGAATGACAACATATACACAGCGAACTAGAAAACTTATAAAGAGAAATTTATGATATATCGGAATTTCATTAGATGTTCTTTTAACGATGCAAAAAAAGTCATTTTCTAAAATTACCATATTTCATAGGAGGATGTTTTTCTCTTGCATGCGCATAATGTCATGCTCCTGATAAAATTATCTATTTCGAAATAAAAAGCTTGTTTTCATTGTCTTCATACATTCTTTTCTCGAACATTATATAAAATAATTATATGAAAAATAAATTTTAGATGAACTCAATTCGTTCAAGTCGTCATTTACCAAATGAAGCATGTCGTGTATGTGGTTTTGAGAAAACTACAGGTCGTAATTTTGGTGTTATAACTTGTTCAACATGTAAAGCATTCTTTCGAAGAAATGGTCGTACAGCTTCAGTAAGTAAAAAAAACAAACAAATAAATAAATAGTACTATCGTTCTATTTGATTAGTCTTTACCACCTTGTCGTTTTGGCGGTAAATGTCCTGTTAATGAACGAACACGTCGTCAATGTCCAACATGTCGTTTAGCAAAATGTTTTGCTGTTGGTATGCAAAAAGATTTAATAAGAACAGAAGAAGAACGTGCTGCACGTTTACAATTAGTTAAAGCTAATCGTTTACAAAGAAATGAAAAATTAAATCGAAAAAAATCTTATGATATAAATGAAAATGATTTTTTAAATAATAAATCATTAATGCCAACATTATCATCAAATGATTGGATACAATTAACAAATATTCGTAGTGCATATGAACATTTTTGTCTATATCCAATATTACGTTCGGAAGAGGAACGTGAAGAATATTTAAATACTTTACCAATTAAATGTCGTTTAAAAGAACATTCATTTGTAAATGTATTAAATACACGTTTAGTATCATTAACTGCATTTTTTCATGCAACTATACCGGAATTTTCAGTTGCCATGAATAGTAATGATCGCCATTGGTTAATACGTACGAATTTACGTCATCTATTTTTATTTTCATCAATGGATTTAATGAATATTAATGGAAATCAATTACATTTTGATGAAAATAAAGCTTGTCATCATGTTTATTTATATGTTTATGGCCAAGACTTATTAGCACGTGGACAATATCTAATACATAAATTAAATCATTGCATTGGTTTTGATCCCATTATAAGTAAATTGACGCAAATTATTTTATTTCTTTCTCCATGTCTAATTACTAATTACTTGCCTGCTGTAAGTTCTTACCAGCCACCATTAGAAACAATTTTACATATAGTTCATTCACAAGAACAATACACTCAAGTATTATGGTCGTATTTAATGTATCGTTATGGAGAAATCCAAGCACAAAAATTATTTATGTTAATTATTGGACAAGTTTTACAACAACAAAACTATGAAGCTGATATCGATACAAGATTAATTGAAAGACAACCATTTGGAAATCTTGTTTATACGGTATTAACATCATTTTCAACGGATTAGTTTAGTAGAAAAATATATCTATTTAAATATTGAATTATGGTCAAATACGGTGATTTATATTTGGAATTTATAAGAAAACCCACCAAGGATTATTAATTACCTTAAAAATCTACATAAAACTCGTTATTTCTTTTTAACTTTTATTTCGTTATATAAGCATATGTATGTATTTTGTTTTGTCAAAAAAAATATATATCGTTTCAAAAGTTATTACTATAGTATCACTTGTTTAAAATATGTACCGAAGAAAATGCAAATACTTGATCAAAATGAAATAGTCTATTTCATATAATACCATAAGTTAACGAGAAGATCATAAGTATATTTGAATGGTAGGATAAAGAAAAAAAAACAGGTAAATCTATAAATTATTGTCAAGTTCGTTCGATAAGGCTGAAGTTAATCTTTTACAGTACATATATTCACTCAATAATCATATTTATTATTAGTCATGTAAATCAAACCGAGCAAAAACCTTAGGGGAAAGTCATTCGATATAGTGTACGGTATTCGCCGAGGGTGTCGACAATCAACCGATGGTAGTGTGATACTGAAACGGTCGGGCATCTTCGAACCATCATTTTACTACGGTATACCAATAATTGTTCTCCGATCAGCAATCTATTGCCGATAGTGGGAACAAAAGTGTAAGATGCGTGATTATATCTGAAACTATAAATACGATAATCTCTTTTAATGATATACTTAAGTAAAGATAGAATTAGTTATTAAACACTTATTAATCGTACTCAAAAAGAATTTGAATTTGATAAAGAACTCAGAGTTTTTTGTTTATTTTGAATGAGGATACTTAATAAATGTTCCGAAGGCATGTAGAGCTCGACATGATTCATTTGAGTGCTACTTCAACGACTTCAGATCAAGACTGAAAACAAACTTTGATAATAGAAAATGTACTTTGAGATGCATTACTCTCAAGTTTCAGTTGTTCATAATTTGTAATTACTTCTTTCAGAATCAAATAATACTAATGAAAATATATATTAATATATGTCAAACAATTTTTAATTAAAAAACAAGTACTGCTCTTGTAGATAGTAGATCTAACTCCTAGTTGTTTCTCTTTTGAAAGTTGTCAAATATGCACTGATAATCAGTCGAATGCCTTTGATAATATAATAAAACGAAATGCCTCATGAAAACTGACTTGTAAGATTATTGATAAATACATTTATACATTTATTCAGTAATATGATATTGAAATTTGAATTACTGATTTCAAAACTTCTTGCAACATAGTTGTCATATTTATAGAAATCTTAATCTATATTTTTGTTTTACTTGAAATGTTAAGAAACCAAGAAACCACAATATTCGATTTCTTTATAGAATATATTTAAAGAACATATCGATTATCTTTCACATATGTTAATAAGTAATATCAGTAGAACGGAAAAACAACTTCTAAAGTACTATTTAAAAGAAACAATAATATATTATTTCTCTGTTGAACTCAACAATTTCAATATTTAAGTACATAGATTAACAGATGTGTCATTAAATAAAAGAAAAGAAAAATATTCTAAGCTTGATGTTCGAAATAAAATATTCTAGTTTTTATTTTCATGTTTAACAATAAGAAAATAAAACTTGCAAAGAACAAAAGATAGTCTTATTTAATAAGATATTTCTTTTTCGGATTTGCATAAAATAAAGACTGATAAATATCTATGTTGGTTTATTTTTATTCTATTGTCACTGCTTATTCTTTCATATGATTATTAATTATTTACGACATATGCATTTGAAAAGAAGTGTTCTTTTCTTTTGATAAGAGTAGTTTTTAGACATCTGGAAAAAGAAATAGAACATAAGTTTATCGAGTTCTCACCTATTATTTATGTCTTGTATAGATTTATATAAAAGAAATAGTAATATAAATATTCATGGTGTAACACAAATCGACAATTATGCAATCAAATGATCACTTCATTGGTAATTCTTGATGATGAAACTTAAAGTACTAAATTTCATGCACTCGCTTATTCAATATAACGCATACATGAATTTGGTGGAAAAGATTTTTTGAAAAGTCGACATATTCTAGTTTTTCTTTGATGCATTTTCGTTTGTTGAAAGCAAGTCAAGATTAATTAAAATAAATATTCGTTTATTAATGAAAAAAATGAATAATAATTTGAAATATAAGATAAAAGTTTACTTAAAAAAGAATTATTCATTTTAATTAATAATTAATACTTAAATGTTCTATTAAAAATATTATATATTCAAGCAACAATAAAATGATTCTTATTGTATTTAATCTCTCAATAAATGAACTGTAATAATAAACTATTCACTCATACTATTTTTTGATCATCGTTGACGTCGGTACGTATGAACAGATGCAAAATATATTTTCATCTTCTCAGTAACTTTTTTCTGTCAAAAAAATTCAGTTTCTTCTTTTCACTCTTTTCTTTTACATGTTGTCTTATAGCGTCATCTTGTGCTTGACTTGATCTTCTTTGTCAAACATCTTTCGTTTATTTATCACAAATATAGTATTTTCAAATTCTAATATTTAAATCTGGGTTTATTTTATTGAATTACAATAATTAGAGAATATTCATTTTCATTGGTTTCTTGATGCAAATGAACTATTTATCTACTCCCATTATCAAACTATTTATTTGCAATACCATCCTTATGTTTCTTATCTCACGTATAAATTCTTTCAGAAAAGACAAAGATGTTGAAGTATACGAATAAGATAATTTTTCTTTTGAGTTTGCTTTTGTCGGACAAGGTTGTGTAACGTAAGATACTTAAAATCATTTTAGGAGCACATAAAATTGTCTGTTTTTTTCCTTTTTCTTTCAATCATTCGTCGAACATCTTACCTATTATAAAAGAAAGTCGAGAACAACTGAAAGCTTAGTGAGAATGACGAAGCATGAAATAAATAGAGGAAGAAAGAAAAAAGAAGCGTATTAAAGCAACTGTAGCATTTGTCGTTATTTGTGACAAAGCAAACGCATATCGAGCCATTGTAAAACATTACTTTTCATCATGTCTAGAGCTGCTAGTGCAACAAAATCCGGACCGATGGCCGCACAACCTGCTTCAACTAACAAAACACGAATTCATGTTATCTACTATTCAATGTACGGTCACATTGCAACAAGTAAGATTTGATCTATTGCATTAAAAAATGCACTCATCATTAATGTTTCTTTTTTCTTCTTTAGTGGCCAAATCCGTTGTTAAAGGTGTTCAAGCAGCTGGTGCTGAAGTTCGTCTAATCCAAATACCTGAAACATTATCACAAGATGTTTTAACAAAAATGCATGCACCAGAAAAAGATAAAAGTGTACCAACAATAACATTTGGTGAAGCTGGTGAAAATACTGTAGAATTTCAAGATGCATTAACGAATTGTGATGGTATTTTATTGGGCTTTCCAACTCGTTTTGGTGGCATGCCAGCTCAAGTTAAAGCTTTATGGGATGCTACTGGTGGATTATGGATGAAAGGTACACTGGTTGGTAAACCAATTAGTGTGTTCTTTTCAACAGGTACACAAGGTGGCGGGTACGAGAATTTGTTTTTTATATAATCATCGAAAACAAATATTTCCTTATGTCTATAGACAAGAAACAACAACATTAACATCATTAACAAATTTTATTCATCATGGTATGGTTATTGTAAGTTATAATCTTTATTATTACTTTTTTTGCAATGAGGTCTTTTTAACTGTCTTTTTTTTGAAATAGGTACCAATTGGTTATTCATGTCCACTTCAAACAAATATGAGTGAAATTCATGGTGGTAGTGCATACGGTGCTGGTATGTTTGTTTCATGGACATTTGGTTTTTTTTTATATTTGACTATATTTATAGGTACCTTTGCTGGTCCTGATGGATCACGTCAACCAACTCAACTTGAATTACAAATAGCTGAACATCAAGGAACATATTTTACACAAGTAGCTACCGCATTGAAGATCGGTCGAGCAGCAATGCCACCAAAAGATGCTAATCCACCTGATCCAAAACAAGATGCTGAACAACCAAAAACTGAACGACCACCATCAGCAAAAAAATAAGCTAATGATAATAGCTATCTAGACTATTTTTCTTTAAAATTTAGTTTTCTTTACTTCTTTTTTATAAAACATATGTCGAACTAGAATTCTAATCAATAAAGTCCATGAAACAAAGATCTTTGCATTAATAATTTACAATTCGACATAATGTTGCTATAACATTATGTATGATAAGAACATTTGTTTCGAACATTCAATTACTGGTTGACAACATTATTTCAATTTAATTTCGATCTGTTCTTGTCATATTGAGTTCCTTAGTGTTGATATAAAATAGTCTATAACTTTTGAAGAAAAAAACAAAAGTTGATTATATTCCTTTTAATAACAGTAGACGTTGGCTTCAGTGATGGGATCGGTTCGTGTTTTTTTGGAGCCGAACCGAAAAAATCTTAAATCGAACCGATTAAAAAATAAAGAAAAAAAAAGTTTATCAGTTTCAAATCTTTTTTCAGAATATTCACTTACAACAATTTATTGAAGACATGCTTATAACGCTTTCGATAGTTCTAAGACTGACCTAGAAATAAGAGCTGCATACAATGTTAAAAACACAGGTATTTTCATTTTTATGTTAGAAATATTTTCCCGTCGGAAAAGACTGTAGCGTATTTTTAGTGGCCAGCCAATCTTTTTGTTAATCAAGAACGAGTCACTGCATTTTTGTGCTTTGTTCAGTGTAAAGGGCACAACTTGTTTCAATTAGCAGGTTATTATTCTTTGAAAGACGTTCTGTGAAAATGTCATATAGCGTAGGTTTTGAGAAATAATTTATATATGTCGTAACTTCTAGCCATTACTCTGTATTTTTCTAGTTTATGATTTCGGAGTGATGAGGCACTTGAAAATAATAAACTAATGATGGGGGAAGCACACCTATTGAAAAAGAAAGTGTTGCTCTTCAAAATATAACGATTTCGTCAAAAT